CGCGGAGGGAAGCCACTGCCTTGTCACGGACAACGGTCTCTTCAACTGTTGCCAGTGACTCTAGAGGCGGGAGCAGGCAGTGGGCGAATTCACCACCACCAACAAGATTGATAAAGTTTCCTGAAAACAAATAATAGTATTAATTTAATCACTTAACTTCAGTATAACAGACACAATAGATAATAAATTGTGAAGAGCTTAAATAGAGTATGGCTGTCAAAGATGGCGCTAATTTTAATAATAGTTGACATCATCACTCAAGTTGGACAGTCTTGATTTATTTAAATTGGTGCTTTTCTTATACACAGCTTTAGTTGGCCAGACTCTAGCCATGTAAATGATAATCAAACTAAAAGTACCTACTAATAGAAAATAGATACATAATTATTATTACAAGCAGTTGATAGACAATTAGAATTAAACAGGAAGTATTATAAAAACATGGGTGATCTCCTCTCTACTATTTAATATTGTCTACAATTGCCAATACTACTTTAACCTATTGCCCTTTGCTACTGATTCAGTAAGTTTTGGTAGTGTATACTTAAAAGTGATTGTCAATTCTTTCAGAAAGCTTGTATTGTTTTGTGGTTGTCAATTTCAAAACACAATAGTATTTTAAGTACTATTGTGTTTTGCAATAGAAATGAATATGAAAATCAAAGATGATGTATGTACATCTAGATAAAATTTCACCAATCTTACCTCGTGAATCATAGACGAGAAGATAAAACAATTAGGTAATCATTGTTTTCCGAAGAATGGAGGTTTTAATACATTTTGTAAACAATGCAAGTCAGCATTATTTGGCATTCAAAAAAACATGTTATACTGAAAACTTTCTTTTTAATTTTGTATTTTTTTGTATCTGTGTGCGTGCCTACTGTCGAATCAATGTTTTTTCTTTCTATCTAAACTGGTGGACCAGTTTTTACCTATGGCCTTGTCTGTTTTGGATAGTCTATGTTCTTCTCCATGCTACCAAGAGATGCTATGTTTGTAAGAACTTGTTAAGCTTTGTTAATAATGAACGAGTAATTTTATAAAATAAGTATGTGGGATTAGTTGATCGCAAGTGCGATTGTGCAAGGTGGTTTCGGTTATGATTCCCAGGTCTGGACAAAGTATTACTGGGATTTAAAAAAGGAATTATGCCCGGTATGTGGCAATAAACTCAGCTCCTATTACATGGGTCTCATAACATAAATAGTGAAAAGTTGGTGTTACATTGTATTGTGTCATTTTAGTACTCACATTGATAAATTACAAATAACAATTAGTAAATATTCTTAGCCACAAAGACAATAAGGTCCAGGGCCTAATTCATTACGTCTGGATAGCCGTTGAATGAAAGGACTTAATTTATACTATCAATCAGCCCCGGCTTCGCAAGGGTGCAATATGCATGTATTATACATATAAATCCTTCTTAACTCAATGAGTACCATCATTATAGACACAATTAAAGAACAATAGGTTGCAGTCACCAGTGACCGCACGGTGTTTGACAGTTTAAGAATCACTCTATTTATTCAAAAAAAAACTGCCTCAAATCCGTTGCGTAGTTTTAAAGATGGACAGACAGACAGCGGATAGTGACTTTGTTTTATACTGTGTAATGATGATGAACTATCTGTCAAATAAGTAGTTTTTTGGGTACTGGAATTGGATATGCGGAGGTGGCAAAACAGACACTTAATCATCTAACAAATTAAGATGTATTAATAATAATTGACTAAAAACTATTTTTAACAGATTTCTTCAGTATCTTACTCTATTTGCTACAAATCAATATTAGTATGGCAATAGTATAACATAGATAATAAACTAAGGAGACTGATTTACGGGATAAACATGTTTATCTACGTATCAAGACCTTGCCATGTCTTCTTGTGCATTTAATGATGAACTATAACCAAAATCGTAAAATTTGAGTCCTATAAGCTTTGTTTACAAGAAAATCGTGCGAAAATAACAACAATCAGGTTATCTAAACATGAAAAAGTCTTTGAAATACATATTATCTTTTCTCGATAAAACTAACATTTGTGATGTACATGTACTTACCCAGTTGTTCGGCAAGGGCGAGTAAAACTTCATCTTCGTCATAAATGGTCTCCGTGAGGAAAGGGATCAGCTCCGACCTGGTCCTCTCTACACCCAGCGCCAGCGCGATGGTGGATAACTTCTTGATAGAATTCAAACGGAGCTGTACATCCTCGTTTTTCAATTCGTCAATGAGCACCGCAATAGGATACAGTGACTCATCTGTCCCAGAGTCGCTCGCTGCCATTTTTATGTTTGTTGTGCTGCTTCGATTTCAAATTACACGAACTGTTCAAGATTTTCAATAAATTTATGAAGTTATGGCGAGTATTATCAAAAAAACGAACGCTATTGAACTCAAATGCAGCAAAATGGCAGCTTGTGTTTTTTTTTTAAATCTCAAGTCCTCGTTTCGTTCTTCACAACTGCGCAAAGGAAGCTAACCAGTAAAGCCCACAAAAATATTGATATTGATTTTTGTTATTTATAAAATTATAATAATTTATAATTAATTAGGTAGTTTAATTTGGAATATTTGTATTAAATATTTGTTTTAATTTTAAAATATTAAAAATATTACAAGCTGCCAGCTAGCGCTAGTAGCGCCATCTAGTTTTGCTAAGGTTAAGGTTATTTACACTATATTTTTAAGAACACGAATAGGAATTTGCTTTATCAATTCCTCCAGGCGTTGAGTTGGACAACCGATACCTAATATGTAATGTAGAAGTACGGTCGTATAAATACTCCTATAGAAATAGCAACATGTATGTGATAATGCATGTTAGATTAAAATGAAGAAATTAGAAATACTTCTGTAAAATACTTGAGTAGTTATAATGTTATTAGTAGTTTATACAATCTATAAGTGTATGTAAAGCAATGCGGCTCACCACCCACAGTCAAACCGCTAAACCTGTTTGGTGGGAATAAGTTGTAAACTCAATATGTACACTGTTGTGATTATAAATAAATAATATTATTAATAAGAAACATGAGACAGCACAAGAGCCAATCAGCTTCATTCTATGTCTAATAAAGAGTTATTATTTTTATTATTATTTTTAAGATGTAAAATTAAATACCTATTTTAATTTTTAAATTATTTTTTTTTTATTTTAAGTTGTATATATTAATTACTAGCTTCTGCCAGCGGCTTCGCCCGCGATCCCAGGGGGAAAATGCCAATGTATTACATTTACATCACACCATACTCTACCTCTGTTCCGAATTTTTATTATAAAATGGAGTAACTTCTCCCGTTTTCCCAATATTTCCCTTCACTGCTCTGCTCCTATTGATCGTAGCGTAATGAAAAGTATACTATAACCTGCCCAAGAGTATGAAGAATAATGGTGCCAAATGACAATGACCAAATTTGTATGGAGCGTGGTGCCTTTTTGTTTTTTTGCGGCAGTTGATCGGATGTGGAAAAACTGATGCAGAATAACATTACAAACAAAAAAATATATGGGGTCTTATATAAAAAACACAGTCCGAACCGAGTTAAATCAGTTCAAAGATGTGAATATAGTACTATATAATGTTCATGGTGACCGTCCACAACGTATATTTTTCTTCATTTACTTGTCAGAAATATTTTGAAATAAATGTTTATAAACGATTTCAAGGAATTTATTAAAGCTTGTTGTGGACTTTTTCCTTATTTTCCTTTTTTTTTTTAATCAGAACCATTGATTCAGACATCAGAGTGAACCATTTATTGGTCACTGCTGAAGTTAATATAAAAAGATTTCGCTTAATTGGCTAGCGTGTTCACTTTATATGTTATGGTTTATGACCTACGGCAGATTTTCATGATCAATTTCCTCTCAGTCGAAAATCCGCAAAATACTTTACTGAGCCCTATCATGAAATGCTATGTATGTCAGCTGTGGCATCGGTAGCGGATTGAGTAGCGGCAGTCGTCAAAACACGAAAAAAACATTTTTCTGTCTACTTCTCCCGACTTACTCCCGATTAGTAACTAATCCAACTACAGGGTATTCCCTGTAGTAAAGTACTAATCTGCATTCAGTCGCAAAGTGATGGAATATGTATATTCCGACTGATCACATTATATGAAAAAATTATGCGCTCATCTGACGTATAGTCCATCAATTTACAAAGTCCACGGTTTTCTTTTTTCAAAAGATTATGCTAAATATAAAGTAGATGAGTCTCCCACCAGGAGTCAAAGGCAAAAAAAACTTTTAGATTTTTGGACGGCTACCACTACTCAACCCACCACTGGTACCACAACTGGCACTCATGAAGCTTCATGACACAACTCTTAGAAGCATGTCACAAGTTATCGACTGAGAGAAAATAGCTAATAAAAATTAGTGCCTGGGAATATGTATATATTGTGGTGTGATATGGTATGCCTGTGCCAGGTGTACAGTGGCGCGCAATTTGAAGTTAGGAATTGTGACAAAAATATGAATAATTTGAATAAAAAAACCAATGTTAAATGTTTGACTCCAGCTCCTTTCAACCCTCATAACTCAGTCCAGACTGAGATTTCCATATATGAGCCCATAGACAATTTCGTTTGTAATGTCATTCTAGATAATATTTTCCATAAATCATCGACTGCCGCCAGAAAAAAGAAAGGCACCAATTTTAGTCAATGCCCTTTCGTTAAAATCCGTCGAGTAGTTTTTGTTTCCATAACGAACATACAGACAGACAGACAGACAGACAAAAATTTTACTGATTGCATTTTTGGCATCTGTAGCGATCCCTAACCACCCCTTGATAGTTATTTTTTAAATATATTTTATGTACAGAATTGACCTCCCTACAGATTTATTATAAGTATAGATAATAAATTGTATCTTACAGTTAAAAATAAAAAGAGTTTAATCTCATTTCCTTTTTCCATATAAATCCACATTAAATCCTTCTTACCAAATTTAAAAATATTTCTTTTTAAGACGATAATTCGATTGACAGTTGACAATTTTGTTCTTTTTGCCCAAGAAATTATCATGTGGGCTCGTGGGCAATAAGTTTTAATTTTTTAATGTTATTTACGATGAATTTGTGATTAAATAGCATATAAATGCTATGGGCAGCGATGAAGCTAGCGTCCAAGCGTCTGTCGCGCATCTCGTGCTGTGCTGCGTGGCCGGGAGGGGGGTCAGTCAGCATCAAGGCAAATGCTTCACCCACCCGGGAATGCATGCCAATTTCTTCATACATGGAATACTGGGATTCTTGCACTTCCAAAGTAAGTAAAAAGAAGTACAAGTTTGTCAAATATGACAGGGCTCCCTAATAATGTCAAATGAGTAGATAAGAGTTGAAAGAGACATTTCTTTAAGATTCTATTTTTTTTATGGCATAAGCCGGTAAACGAGCAGACGGATCACCTGATGGTAAGCAATCGGCGTCGCCCATGGACACCTGGAACACCAGAGGCGTTACAAGTACGTTACCGGCCTTTTGGGGATTACATTAGATTAGATTCAGGAATTGGGGAGATTGGGGAAGGGGAGGGTAACTGGGCCTCCGGTAACCTCAACACAACGCAAGCGTTGCTTCACGTCAGTTTTCTGTGAGGCCGTGGTATAACTGCGGTCGAGCCGGCCTATTCGTGCCGAAGCATGGCTCTCCCATGCTATGATTCTGTTTTTAACGGTTCTATAAATCTTTCATTCTGTCGATTCTTATTTGGGTTTTTGCCAGGCATGCTTGGGACCTCACAGGTGCTGAGGATGGCCACTGGGGTGGTTTTAGTGAGGTAAAAATGAGGCGTGTAGGATAAAGACTAAGTCTTTTCTCCTCAGAAAGCTAGGCGCCTTTTGAAGGTTTCCCCCGTCATCAAAAAGGCATCTTTGGGAGTTTCTCTAGCATAGAGTGGGTACTTACTGCACTGTTCAAACTTAATTTATTACCAAATAAATTTCAATTTAACGAACATGAAGGAATCAGATAAATAATTAATGTTCACCTTTTCCAGGCAACTTACTCAACAACGATTTCAACGCAGCCTACCTCATTAGCCTACACGCGACCCGCTACTTGGCTCTACCCTGCCTGAATGCCGACCTTCGGAACAATGACCAGGCGTTGGCATCTGCGCACTTACTGTCAGGTGTGATCCCGTTCGCACTGGCTTTGGCTGGACAAGACAATATCGTCTTAGGAAACTTTGTGATTGCCTGCAATATAATCTCTTTGTGCCATTATTCGTTGCAAAATAATCGTGAATGGGGTTGGTTTACCGCAGCGGCTGGTGTGCTTGCTTACTTTTTAAGCCCAGTGACTAAGCAAAAAATGCTTTATCCTCTAACGTTGGGCCTCATGCAGTATTGTGCCTACAGAGTATTTACCGTTCACTTCGCACCACCTCCGCCACCTCAAGGCAGACGTTGATTATTGTTTGTTCTTCGAAAATATATTGTATTTTGACTATAGTAAGAGTTTTATTTGAATCTTCATTTTTATTCACAGCCATATGAGGGATTTCGATTTTCCCTTAGGTATATTATAAGATGGTGTTAAAGGGTTTTGAGTAGCTCAGTCTGGAATGGCTATTCTATTAGACTCGTTGTGTTATTAACGGAAGTAGGTGCTAATGAAACGCTTTAAAATAAAAGGCGAAATGCTAGATTTAATTTGACTATGTCGAAGGTGCTTGGAATCGAGGATCTATGAGGGCTCGTACACAAAACTGCGATGCGACGTCGCATCGCAAGAACTTGCGAATTGATTCGCATCGCGCATCAAAATCTTATCTTCCCAAATTTTTTTTGTTTTTTTTGTCCTGTATTTTCTAAGTAATAACAAAAGTGCACACTTCTTTTTACGATCTATGTCACGATCTAGTTTTTAATTTAAAATACATTTGGTACGGTTAACGGTCGTCGAAGGAATAGTCACCCTGGGAGACGCCTTGTCATTCATTATTGCATTGCAGTTTTGTGTATGAGCCCTAAGGCTCTAAATAGTTGACACGACTACAATTGAACTGCAAACCAAACGTCCAAAGCAATCCGATTGCAGTTCTATTGTAGTTGTCTGACGACTGCATTCAAACTGCAATTTGCGGTTGGATTTCAGTTGAAATGAGGTCCTTCTGTCTAGAGCCTAAGTTATACCTACTATTATAGGTATGTATAAAAATATATATGAAACTTTGTCTTCATGTCATTTAGAATTTTAAAATATTCTAAACAAAAGCGTCGCAATAAATCCACGCAGTACGGTTTATCCATTTCTATATAATTTCCTAATTTATTATTAGATTATGTTTTTGTTGTTCCTTTATTTCGTTAATGTATCTTAACTTATGCGCGAGTCTGTGCTAGCTATTTGTTTAATTTTAGAAAGGTATTATGAAAATTATTCTTTACTAGCGACCCGCCCCGGCTTCGCACGGGTGCAATATGCATGTATCATACATATAAAATTTTCTTAAGAATCACTCTATCTATTAAAAAACACCACATCAAAATCCGTTGCGTAGTTTTAAAGATCTAGGCATACATAGGGACAGACAGATGGCGGGTAGCGACTTTGTTTTATACTATTTAGTGAAAAATCAAAGTCTTTGTTAAATTAATTTACAGTATTTCAGTTCGTCATTTAAAAGTTATATTTTAACTCCCATCCTACAAGACCATAGCTCAACATCGAGCTTGTCACACTCCGTGTTTCTGAGGATTTCAGGAAACCCGAAAATGCATAATAACCCAGGTTAAATACCCAAGATCCCTTGCTCGACAGGCCCACTTTCAACAACACGATCAACAAAAAGTCTCTACGATGTACCTAAGTATAAATTAATTTCATCAATCTTTTTCTTTATGGCAACAAGAACAAGAAAAAAGCAATTCCTTTGTCTGTGGCGTAACAAACCGTGGTTTACTTAAAGGAAGTCTAATGCTCGCATGCTGGCTTCACCCGTACCCTGCTGAGATGATCGCATTAGACTTATATAAGTACTTGTAATGTTATTGAGTTTATTTATATCTATTTATTGTGTACGAAGACAAACAAAGGGATTTGTTTTTGAAGAGCTAAGTTAAGTGTGGGAGAGCCATGCTTCGGCACGAATAGGCCGGCTCGACCGGAGTGACACCATGGTCTCAAAGAAAACCGACGTGAAACAACGCTTGCGTTGTGTTTCGTCGTGTAAGTGACGTTACCGGACGCCCAATTACCCGCCTCCCCAGTCTCCCCAATCCCCAGGTCCTCCACAATCCTCAAATTACCAATTCCCAAAATGTATCCATCAGCGGCGCCGATTGTTTACCATCAGGTTATCTGTATGCTCGTTTACCGGCTTATGCCATAAAAAAACCGCCTGTGATCTTAATTCTTCTTTTAATTTGAACTTTTGAAGTGAGCTCGATCGCATTCTCGCTTGTCATTGGTCGAGATTATTCTCACAACCAATGACATGGCGGACCGCGATTGAGTTCACTTTGATTTTCGAAATTTAAAGTTACAGAGTTTATGGCATCCTAGTTTCTGCTGTCAGCATTGCCTCCTTCACTGGGATAAAAAGTGGCGTATGTGTTAATCTAATTTTGCTGCATGGTGTAAGCAGGGATGTCCCTACTTTACGCTCATGTGTTTCATGATTTCTAAGTAGGTATTTCAGCATAACCTTCAAAGATTAGTAATACAATTTTTCACAAGCCCTAATACGCTAAAACGCCGAAGTCGATTGCAACCAAAACACTATTATAAAAAATGAGTGAAAATAATGATCCTCGTCCTACTGACTGAGATACGATTCCAAAGTCAAAATTATTTATTTCAATCACACCAGGCACTTTAGAACGTCAATAAAAAATTTAAATGTGACAAGCATTCCAAGGTGTAGATTGTGAAGAACGAGCAAGAAACTCCATAGGTTACTTACCAAAGAGAATAAGTGTAGGATAATTACTTACTTTTTTTAAATCAGGTTCAAAATAGAATAGTTTCCTAAATTTTATTTTAATATCCGTCTGGTAGATTAATTTAAAACTTTAGACACGTATTTTTTCTTTTCTCGCAAAATTAAATATTTTCGACGATATATTAATTTGAAATATCGTGTGACGTCACAGCGTGCAACATTTTGTAGCACGTTATGAGGTAACGATCGAAACTTAGCCCCATTTTATCTAAGTAAAAAATACGTGTCTAATATTTTTTCATTATCTAACTGATGGATTCATTTGATTTTTAATTTTGATACCCTGGAAACTACCCAATTCTTTAGTTAGTACCTACATTGTTTTGTCCCGGGAGAACAATCATTGTATTTTCTCTTCTCTTCCTCTTTGATGGTTATATAAATAAATCTTCTATTCTTTGAGAGATATGACCCAATATCAATTGATATCGAATTTAGAATCCACACATGTGCCGCCACGTGTAAAAAGGTACGTATCGCCTTGATTCATCTTTTTTCAAATAGTCTTTAAATAGGTTGTGAAACCAATTTTTATTTATGTCTCTTACAGTTCTTTGAATATGTTTAATTTTCCATTCTTAGTCTTGTTATGAGATTTCTTGCTATGTTATTGGATTGTAATCAGTTCGATAACAATTTTAAATTTTTATTTCTTCTCAGCTGCGAGTATAAAGTTATTGTTATATATTAAATTCTTTTCTTAGTCCAAACCAGAATGAATATAGTTTTTATGGACATTGATTTCATTCTTCCTAAGTACCATTATTTTTATAGCAAATGCATGGCATAATTATCCTGTTCTTTACTTAAACAATTGGGATGATGACAGGGTATGAAAATTAAAAATCTAATTAGTCCATAGACAAGTTAGGTAATTAAAAAAATATTAGACACGTATTTTTTTATTTTGTCGTATAATAAAACTATACTTACATAAAACGAATCAAAGTTTAGGAGTGGGGGCTAAAACGTCATTTCTTCGTATAAAATGTGTCACGAAGTGACGTCACGCGACATTTCAAATCAATATATCGTCGAAAGTATTCATTTCGGTAAGAAAATAAAAAATATGTGCCTAATGATTTAAAAGAATCTACCAGACGGACATTAAAATAAAAATTAGGCATCTACCCTATTAGTAACCAAGGAGGTTTGCTAAGAACCCGCATAACAATTATAATTATATAGTCTGTGCCAACGACCTGACGATAATTTTATTCTAACACAATTTAGTAAAATATCAGTATCCACGCAATGTGTTGCCATTTGCCATTCTTCGGCCATTAGACTGTAACCGATACTTTATGTAGCAAGAAATATAATGTAGATAGACACAAGTAGGTATCTGGCTACAATACCCGGCGATTAATATTGCGCATAGACTTTTGTAAAAAGACAATTTTGTGTGATATTAAGTTCGATCAATTAACTAAAAAAAAAAATGCGATTTGGCAGTCTAAGGGTTAAAAACCGACTTCAAAAAACATAAAAAAAAGTTTGTTATTAATAGAGAAAAAGTAAAAACTAAAAAGCAAAATTAACTATTATTAGTACTGATAGGTTATTCACCCACTGATTGGTTAGAAGTCGGCGCCATAACTTCTATACAAAATTATTCATTAGAACCTTAATATGTAGATACGTAATTTACAATTTTGTGGCCATTATATATAAGTATAATATCATTATGATATGAGTAGGTACTAGATATAAGTACTCGAAACTAGTAACTCGTAATTTTTAGTTAATTCAGTATGTCTCAGGATAGTTATTATCAAAATATAGGTACGATCAGTTACTTGTAGGTACACACGGCTTACAGATCAAGCTTCACATAACCAGTATAAACTAAACGTTAAATGTGCGGAAAGATGATGCGACGCGATACCAGGATAAACTGGTTTTGTATAGATTGATGTGTGGCCGTGTGTACAAAACTTTTTATTCAAGTTTTTAACCGACTTCCCAAAAAGGAAGAGGATCTGTATGTTTGTTTTTCTATTTGCTTATAGTCATGAGATGAGTGCGCGGCGATATGTCTTTTTAAAAATGCCGATGTGCCATATGTATTGTCAGTTATTGTACTAAGTTGTGAAGTCGTGGGTCTTGTCTAACATGTTAAGAACAACCTACAAGCTTTATGAAGAAATGGATAGCACTTAATTAGTGTCTAGTCGAGTCGTCGCTAAGTACTAGCATTTGGTTGTAATTTGGTAAATTATTGGGAAATTGATAGATTTAAAACATAATATATTTTTTAAAATAATTCTACATACCTTATTTGTGTAACACACTGTGTGTCGGTATCGTATTTCGTTTCCTGTTACAGTACTACCGTGTTACAGAGGCCTTAGTATGAGTTTGATTTACGTTTAAAATATTCGAAACGCGTACGCGTTCGGCGCTCTGATTGGTTGGTTTATTGGCGCCGGCCAATCAAAGTGCCGAACGCATACTCGTTTCGAATACTTTAAATGTAAAACAAACTC